TCAAACCAGTACCCATATGGGATGCTGGTGCCACAGGTGGATGCTTAACCCACTATGCCACAGTGCCAGCTCCTCCACTCTCTTTTTAAGAGCCCTATCTTGGCTGGTGCCATAGCTCAATAGGCTAATCCTCCACCTGTGGCACTGGCATCCCGGGTTCTAGTCCCAGTCGGGGCGCCAGATTCTGTCCCAGTTGCTCCTCTTCCAGTCCAGTTCTCTGCTGTGGCCCGGGAGTGCAGTGGAGGATGGCCCAAGTGCTTGGGCCCTGCACCCGCATGAGAGACCAGGAGAAGCACCTGGCTCCTGGCTTTGGATCTGCGTGGTGCACCAGCCGCATCGCGCCAGCCGCAGCAGCCATTGGAGGGTGAACCAACAGTAAAGTAAAGGAAGACCTTTCTCTCTGTCTCTCTCTCACTGTCCACTCTGCCTATATTAAAAAAAAAAAAAAAGCCCTATCTTTCCAGATAATTCTCTGTATCCTTGCATTTTTTTTTTAAGGATTCAGAATCACCTTATATGAAGCAAGGACTTCTGCACCTCTTTTATAGAGATGACATCACATTCAACATTTATTAGTTTTAGGTGTTTGAGTAGTCCTCATCATCATTGTCTTTTTATAAATTAATCCATTTTTTTAGGAGTCAGAGAGCTCTCATCTGCTGGCTCACTCCCTCAAATAACCGCAATGGCCAGATCTTGGCCAAGGTTGAAGCTGGGAGTCTGGAATGCAATGCAGGTCTCTCACATAGTGGCAGCAACCCAACTACTCGAGCCATCACGTGCTACCTCTCAGGGTCTGCATTGGCAGGAAGCCAGTCATGGCCAGAAGTGGATCTAAACCCAGGGAACCCGATGTGGCACTCAGCCATCTTACCCAGCAGGCCAAATGCCTGTACCCATCAAAGCCATGCTAAATAACGTGCATATGCGTCCATTCCTTGGTTACTCAACTCTACCAGAAAACTTCTTCCATGACTTGAAGATATGTGTTGATCTTCCTCCCTCCCCATGCTCCCCTTGAGCTTGGTAAGTTTAATCCTTCTTTTTCTGAAGTTCCTCTTAAGGTGTCAACAAGCTAGAATTCCTTGGCTCTGCTATGTACGATGAGGGCACACTCCTGTGCCCCTGCCCTCCCCAGCTTCCCACTCATTCCTTTGTTAGCTATTGCTTTTACATTGTCAAGGGTTTTGTTGGTTTGTTGATTGGCTGGCTGGTTGATTTTGTTTTAGTTTTACCATTCATAGTCTGTCCATTCATTAAAATTAAATATTTTGTGCTTTATATGTGCATTGATTCTAAAAAAATCATAATACATAAACACATTATGTTTATATAATACATGTCTTACAATACTCCTTAGAAATGTGTTTGACTTGCAAAAAAATATAATCCAGTGTCACAAAATTCATATAACTCAAAGAAATGTCAAGGTAAATTGCATATTCTCTTTCTCTGTCTCAAACTATTTCTTTTGTTCTTTCTTTCCATCCTACCCAAGTAGGCCAAACATGCCACCTTTTAGCTTCCTTCATTTTTTGATGTTTTTGTAATTTCTTTTGTGAAACTTTTTTTAAAAGATTTACTTATTTGAAAGTCAGAGTTACAGAGAGAAGGAGAAACAAAGAAAGAGAGAGATCTTCGATTTGCTAGTTCACTCCCCAAGTGGCTGCAATGACCGGGGCTCCGCCAGGCTGAAGCTAGAAGCCAGGAGCTTCTTCTGGGTCTTTCACTTGAATGGCAGTGAGCCACGTACTTGGGTCACCTTTCACTGCTTTTCCCTGGCCATTAGCAGGGAGCTGGATCAGAAGTGGGGCAGCCAGGACATGAACCAGCACCCACATGGGATGCCAACATCAAAGGTGATGACTTTACCCTCTATGCCACAATGCCAGCCCCTCCTGAAACTTTTATTCCATTTTTATTAAAGTCATACAGGTTCATAATTTTAAAACTAAAATAGTTCTGCAAAGCTCAACATGGAAAACATTCTCCTATCACCACCCTTCAGTGATCCCTAAAAGTGACCATTCTCAACTCTTTCAGTTCTTTTCTTAGGTATTGATATACATACATAAAACAGCTCATAATACTGCTCTTTGTTATTTTTCAGTTTGAGGTTTGTATTAATGACCTCTCACTAGGTAGAATTAGGTGTTTGGTCTCTTGCATGGTTCCCCCCTCCACCCCCGCGCTGCCGCCAAACCACACCCTAAGACAAACACACACACACATTTCGCTCATACATGCTCCTCTCTTCCTAGCTCTTCCGACGTATCTGTGTCAAGTTTTGGTTAAGTCATAGCTAGTGTTTATATTAGTGTAACTGTAACTGTGACTTACACCTGAGCGTTGTCATTTCTGTGTACTCATCACTCCCTCATCTCCAGAGTCTCTGTCCAAACTGAAAATCTCTGAGTACCCGAGATTTGTCAACCATTCTACTGATTGCACTGTTTTGTTGGTACCGTCCACCCCCCTCTGCTCCCTGGCAGTCTGGCTGGCTTCCAGAACTGAATCTGTGTGTGTGTGTGTGTGTGTGTGTGTGCTGCCTATTTTCTGGACCCTCTTGTTTCGCATACTCCTGTATCTTTCTAGAAGAGGTGCATAGAATGGAAAATATTTCTTGCGTGTCCTCACATTTGATTAATATCATTGAATGTAGAATTTTAGTTTGGAAAACATTTTCTTTTTGAAGCTCAGAGGCATTGCTCTGCTGTATTATGGCTTCAAATTTTTTTAAGATTTATTTATTTATTTGAAAGTCAAAGTTACACAGAGAGAGAAGGAGAGGCAGAGAGAGAGAGAGAGAGAGAGAGAGAGGTCTTCCATTTGCTGGTTTACTCCCCAATTAGCCGCAATGGCCAGAGCTGCACCGATCTGAAGCCAGGAGCCAGGAGCTTCTTCTGGGTCTCCCACACGGGTGCAGGGGCCCAAGAACCTAGGCCATCTTCCACTCCTTTCCCAGGCCATAGCAGAGAGCTGGATCGGAAGAGGAGCAGCTGGGACTTGAACCGGCATCCATATGGGATGCCAGCACTGCAGGCGGCGGCTTTACCTGCTATGCTACAGTGCCAGCCCCCAAAGGTTGCTTTAGGTCAGTAGTCTGATATGATTCTAATTACTGATCCTTTGCCCGTGATCTACTTTTTCTCTCTGAAAGATTTTAGATTCTTCCATGTATCTGATAATCTGGAATTTCATGGTAATGTGCCTTTATTTGAGTCTCTTTCAAGAAAAAAAAAATGAGCCAGACACTTTGGAGAACTTCCATTATTCAGATGTTGAATCTTTTTGACTGATCCTTTAATTTTCTAATATTTTGCCTCCTAATTGCTGTCTTTCTAAATTTTTTGTTTATTTGCTTTCTGGGGAAAAGTAGAATCTTTTAATCAAAGTTTCTGAGTGTTTGTACCCATGAAAGTCTGTACTTTGCCTTCCCACTTCATTAGTAAGTGACTGGTAGAGAATTCCAGTTTCAAATTTAGTTTCCCTCACAGCGTGTAGGTTTTATTATTAAATGTTAGATTTCAAGTATCCACTGATGATGATAATACCACGGTGATCTTCTCATGGAATCTCCTTTTCCTTAATAGGTATCCGTTTTTCTCTCCCTGAAAGACTTTTGTGGTCCTATTATTTCAAATACATATATTTATGGGGTACAGTGTGTGATAAATCAATGTAGGGTCTTTCTTCTATTGTCGACTGTAAATTTCACAGATTTGTCTCCAAAGATGGGGATTATTTTTACTACTCATGTTTGAGACTCAGAGGGCCCTACCATCCCAGGAAGAATGGTTTTCACGTCTGATTCCACATTTTTCTCAATATGCCCAACCATTCGGACTTTACCCATCAGTAGAATCTCATTTGCTTTCCATCTTCAAAAGATGTCTTCAAAATATCTGGGCCAATTCTGTCCCCCCCACCCACTTCTCACCTATGTTGTAGACTTAATCTTTGGGGGAGTCCTATAAGCTCAGTGAGATTCTAGAAAGGAGAGATTGTAGACATGTGTATCTGTCTCCTTGACCTAAAATTCTAGGTTGCTCATTGTCTGATTGCTTATATCTCAGAATGTCCAAGTCTTTGCTTTTTAGGTCAACTTATGTGTTTGTTTGAACCTTCACTAGAATATTCTTAGAGGGCAGAAACAAGATTTTTCTTTACAGTATTTTTTTGCATACCTAGGGAAAATGTCTAATTAAAATTTTTATGCCAGAAGAAAGCCAAACAATTTAAATGAATGCTATCTACACTTAATTATACCATTCTCTAGGAATAAGTAAAGCCAGGACTCTAAAAAAGTAGTGTGATTACATCTCACCTCGCTCCTTTTTCTGCCCTTTTCCCCTTTTTTCCCACATTTCTCTTCTAAATGATCATTATCCCTAATTCCTTTTGCTTTCTTTCCTGGTGGGTATATTTATTTTTGTTCAAATTGCTTTCCACATGCATTTAAAGAATCAGTCAAATAAGTGATTCTGGAGTTTGTAAATCACTGTAGAGTGCCTGGGGAAAGGACCTTAACACTAGGTACTCATTAAAAAAGAATGCCAAGAGGTCTTAAAAACTTTGATCCTTGACTTTGAAAGTAAAAACTTTTGGTTATCATTAATCACTTGGACTACATGTTTCAGCTCTGAACTTTTCCTTGGCTTTGCTAGATTTAATAGCAAGCTTTTCAAAATCATTATTTAATTGTTATGTGCTAGCCTATGAAATTTTCTCAAGAATAGAAATAACAAAAATATAACTTCAATGTGAAAGTAATTAGTGCCCATGAAAAACTGATTTTTATACAACTCAATTATATTAAATATTATAACACATATTGGAACCATAAACACATCATAGGTTTACTGCTGTTAGTAGTCGTTATAACTATACCTATCAATTCTGAAGGATTTTCTGCTTTGTTTTTGGTGAAAATTTATTCGTTCTCTGACCAATGCAAAAAACTTGGGTTATTTTCTAGTCAAAAAAGTAAAGAGCTTTAATAATTGTGAACAGAAAGTTTATTGACTGGTATGAAGACTTTAACACCTGGAATTACCCAAACATTTTTTCAAAAATCTCATTTTATAAGTGCTAAAAATAGTCTTTAAAATTTTAATACTGAACTTGAAGTTGCTAGCCTTGATGAGATTCAAATGTTTTATTAATTTCTGAAGGATTCAATTTTTTACGAAAACAGTTTTGGCAACTAATTAAGTGAAATAATGTTACTCTCAGTGTTAAGTGTGGGACTCTTTTTCATCCCTGTTAAATTTACTGTTGTCATTCTGTCATTATGTGATAAGTACCAAGAAATATGTATTTTAGTAAATTATCTGTTAGTGAATATTATGTTATACAGCTGAAACAAATGGGAGGGATTTCATGTTATTCAAATCTCAAAGTTCAATCTCCAAAGAAAATATATGGAATTTACAATTTGCTTCAAAAATGAAATGGGCTTAGCTTTCACAGCACGGTCTTTGGCATGGTCAGGCTTTTCAAGAAAGCTGAGTCCTGGATGAGAAGACAGGATTAGGCTCTGTAGCAGACGTGCAGAAGAGTTTGCCATCCCAGCTCCCTAAATATGCCACTTCATCTCTAGTTCATGGATTTTCCTACCATAACATAAACAGACTAATGTTGCTGTGTGTATGAGATCATAACATCTGTCATGCACTCCGTGACCTCACTCATCTCTACCTCTGCTTTCCACCCCATGTATTTAAAAAACGATGAGAAATAGGAAGCTTACTTTACCTAAACTTAAAGTTAGACTCAGGAATTATTTTATTCAGCTCCAGGCTTTACACCTTGGAAACAACTTTAGATGCAAATGGGGATAGAATTTTTGTAAAGTAACTGTTTCATGCATTGGTGCCAGAATTTCTCTTCATGAAAATGATAACCTTTGAAGGAACTTCTTTTGATCTAGAATGAGTGTTTGATCTTTTGAATGAAAATAATCTTCATTTTCAAGAAATGTTTTCTGCATAGCTGTTGGTTTTTCATTACCAAATGCTTACTGAAATTTCAAACAACATACCTTGTTGACAATTATTTGTGCTAATGTGCTTGAAATTAAAAGTATTATTTCAAAATTTATGGAATAATATACAGGAAATTTATATGTGAGCATATATGTGAAAGTGAGAAGCTCTTAAGAGATTATGGAATAGAAAGGAAGACGGCAACACTCAAAGCATGGAATCCTCTGTGTGACAATCTCCTCACCAATAACTGGACCATGTTGTAGAGCCTCTAGTGCAAACTAACATGTATTCTTGACTGGGTGGAAGGTCAAGGACAGATAACCACAGGAGCTTTTAGGGTGGGTCATCAACTTAATGAAAATAACAGTGAAGGCACTGTGTTCCTTGAAAACTGGTCCCTAAATTTTCTTTCTCTACTGCAGAGTATGGCAATGTCATGACTCCAGGGAATTTAGCCAAACTGTTTTTGAAGATTTATCAAGCACTGAACATGACTTGACAGTAGTTAGCATGTTTCCAAACACATTTTGAAGTATTTATATCACAATCTATATAAAAATAAAACTGTGGACAGCTGGACAAGAACACTGGTCTACTCGCCGAACTTTTTTCCAAGTTCCTTGACATCGAGGATTGCCAATTGCTTGCCAGTGGAGGGTTTGATTTCTGAAACAATATTTTGAAAATGTTAGTGATACTGAAAGCAAACCACAGAGAATTCTAACTTGCAGAATTAAATTGAAGTGTTTCTTTAAAAAAAAAAAAGAGAGAGAGATTGATCACACACAGAATTTTGAAGTGTATTACAAATCAAAAAAATGTTTCATGGTCACAAATGGAGTTTCCCTTCTGTAGGTCTGTCAAGGCCAAGTTATCAGTTAATCCTTATTTGGGAACACTCTCATGTTGGAAGATTAATTTGGAGCTCCTTCATTGCTTTCCCCCACTCAATCTGAATACAAGTACAGCATTTTAAAAATGGCTCACTACTCCATGTATATTTAAGTTCAGAGGGTCCAAACCAAATGATCTCTTTTGGTCCTTTCCAATTCTTTGATTCCATAATGAAAAAAATCAGAGAAGTAGAAAGAGTAAAGCCAGGTTATTGAATTTATGATTTTTAAAGACACTGGTACCTTAGCCAGGGTTTAAATACTTTCTTTATGAGTCCAAATTAAATTATAAATTCATTTAATGTCAAAATATAGATGAGGTAGTTAGAAAAATATTAAATCTAAATATTAAGTTTCTATTTGATATGAATTCCTTACCCACTTTATTGTTCATATGTTGCATCCACAGGAGGCCTTTAGGCACAAGTGGCTAATATACATAAATTCACATTATTAAATATTAAAACATACTGCAAGAATAATGATTAACTGGAAAGGTCCATATCTTTTTAATCTGTGTTTTTACCAGTTCCACCTGACATACTTAAAGCCATAATCCCAATGTGACCTAAACTGGACTTTGTCCAAGAGCTGCCTTGCACAAAGCCGACTCTTCTGTTAGTTATGAATATTGTTACCAGATTTAACTGATAAATACACAGAGGACTGGGGCAGATTTGCAGGATGGTGAGGGGTTTAGGAGTCAGTTGTTCTGGAAAACAGGAAAAATCCTTCAATCCATTTCCTTCCCTTACCCATCAGAGTCCAGGCCATCCCCAGAACAACGCAGGCTCACGGAGTTCATGGCTGGAGGCTGGCAGTCCACACACACTGTGTATCCTTCACGGAGATACTGCATCCATCGAGTCAGGGGCCGGTTTTCCAGAGCACAGTGAGGCGTCAAAGACTCGGTCTTGAACTCCATGCAGTATCTAGAGCAAAGGAAGGAACAGTTTCACCTGCTCTAATTAGAGATAGCCGGACCACATAGAGGATCTTGGGAAATCTGCCATCTCCAAGGGCTTTCTCTTCACAAGTGACAAGTCACAGGTGCCCTTAACATTACTCAGATGCTGAACCATAGTAGCATAAAACGACCAACCACAGAAAACCTCTTCATTCTTTTCCAATCTATGATCAAACCATCTGGGCCACATCAATTAGCAGAACTTTGATATCCTGCAACAATATAATCAATCCACTAAGTTGTGTATAAAAACACATATTTTTTAAGAATAATAACCCTAGGCCGGTGCTGCGGCTCACTAGGCTAATCCTCCGCCTTGCGGCGCTGGCACACCGGGTTCTAGTCCCAGTCGGGGTGCCGGATTCTGTCCCGGTTGCCCCTCTTCCAGGCCAGCTCTCTGCTGTGGCCAGGGAGTGCAGTGGAGGATGGCCCAAGTGCTTGGGCCCTGCATCCCATGGGAGACCAGGATAAGTACCTGGCTCCTGCCATCGCATCAGTGCGGTGCTGAACCAACGGCAAAGGAAGACCTTTCTCTCTGTCTCTCTCTCTCACTGTCCACTCTGCCTGTCAAAAAAAAAAAAAAAAAAAGAATAATAACCCTTGATAACTTTGCTGAAGTTTTAAAGAGTTACAAAAATTAAACAAGCACTTACAGAAACCTATTTCCCTTGAAAGAAAGAGTCCAGGAGGCCTTGTCCTTGACACTCAGGCCAGCACCTGCACATTCTGCCCCACAGCAGTTCCTGGGGGGCCTTCCCTGCACTCCCCACTTAGCCCTCCTCCATGATCTGGGGCTGTGAGGATGAGTTTTGATTTAAAGGCAGCATCAGAGTTTTTTAATCAGGCATAACAGACAAAGGCAGAAACGGGGATCTGAGTCATCTTTCTCTGTGACAGAGGTTTTTATCACCTTACACTGTCACACAGCTAACATCATCTTTGACTATACTCAGGGCCCCAGGCCATCTTCCGGACATAGGTGAATATTTTAAAATCTTGTACTTCAAGGCATACAGTTTCCCCATTCTTCAGGGAAACAGTAGAATAGAAAACCCTGAGTGTTATAGAAGAAATTTACTGCATCTTTACCTCAGTGGGCTAATTTCTTAACCCATAGATTTATGCTTTGTCATAAGTTAAATGAAAAGTGTTTGAAGAGCAAAGATCTTTAACAGTAGGCACTTAGCAACTAAAGGTCACCAGCACCTTTAGTATTGAGGTAGGAAATCCTACAACTCAGCTTCTATCAACTTCCAAAAGACAGCATAACCCTGACATGTCTGCAATGCTCTTTCCCCCACTAAATGCTCATACCAAGTCCATGTGCTAGATATTAAAATTAATCCTATTTTAGAAGGCAATTGCTTAGGGCAGGTGTGGTGCAGTGGGTTAAGCAATGCCAGCATCCCCTGTTTGAGCCCCAGCTGCCCTGCTTCATTCAGATCCAGCTTCTTGCTAATATGCCTGCGAAGGCAACAGAACATGGCCCAAGCACATGTTCCCCTGCCACGCACATGGGAGACCTGAACGGAGTTCCAAGCTCCTGGCTTTGGCCTGGCCCAGCCCCTGCCATTGCAGTTATTTGGGGAATGAACCAGTGCGTGGAAAATTTTCTCTCTCTCTCTGTCTCCCTCCCTCTCCTCTCCTTCTCCCTCTCCCTCTCCTTCACCCTTTCCCTCTCACCTGCTCTCCCTCTCTCTCTTCCTCTCTCCCTCTGTGTGTGTGTATCTGCCTTTCAAATAAGCAAAATAAATATTAAAAAAAAGAATAAAATTGCTGCAGTGGAACAACTTCTCCAAGGCCTGTGGCTAGTGAGTGATGGTGTGGGTATGAGAACAGGAAGCCACCTTGTCTCCCCTCTGCAATAAGAAGTGTGGACTTCAGGGGAGCCACTGGTTTCCATAACGAATCCTCTGAGCTAAAGTGGTGCCGGAGTCCATGGTCCCACAAAGACAGTCAGAGGAGCATCCTGAGGTTGACTGATAAAATACTGTCCTCTGGTCGTTACATAGCTTGTTTCTTCTGGGGGATCGGAGCTCAGAGATACAGAGATCTTTAAAGCCCCACAGAAACAGCAGACAAGCACTTCCCCAACTCGTGTAGTGAAGAGTCGTGTTTTACGCAAAGTCAGTGAGCAAGTAACAGAAGAAAAAAGCCAGACCAAGCTGACCTTTCATGCAGACTTCACCGTACAACTGGAAAAACAAAATTCAACAGATAAGCCAGCACCAAATTTACCCAGCATCCTCTGTGCGTGTCGCCCAATGTGGAGATGCAGCTGGTCTTGTCCTCTCCTTGTTGAACGCAGAGGTAGTTATAAAGGCAGGGACTAGAAAAGGGAGAATCACGTTGAACACATGCAGCCCAGGAGCTCGGAGCAACCCTGCCCAACTCTGGGTTTGTGTCTGTCTAAAGGTCCCCATTTCCCAGCCCAAACCAAGGCCAAATGAGAGCATCTCCAGAAACAAATGTAATAAAGATGGGTGTGCATACAGATGGGTAAAGGGGGGTACCACAGGCCTCCCGCAAGTACACTTCCCAGAAGTAATAAAACTGTGGGGAAGGAAGGAGAGAGGTCAGGAAGAACAACCAAGAAGAAACAAAAAGATGAGGGTCAGGGGAAACAAGGAAAAAGGTGAGGCAATAGAGGTTATGAAGAGAATGGGAAGGGACATGTTTAAAAATGAATGGGAGAGAAAGAAGAAAAGGGAAACACCGGAAGAAGGTGAGTGAATACATAGGAAAGAAAGGAGAGGGGAGGAACACAAAAGGAAAGGGAAGGAGAGAACACAGCCAGAGCACAGAACTCAGAAAGCAAAGAAAGCACAAGAAACAAAGAGCCAGGAGATGTGGGTGGGCCCCAGCCTGCTAAGAATGCCCCAGCAGAAGCCTGGTCCCCACGCTTCCCGGAAAGCACAGTCTAGAAGCTTGGCCCTGCATAGAGGCTGCCGAGGGCCAGCAAGCACAGCATCGTCCCTATGCGACCTCATGGAAAGGAACTCTCACAGGGTTCTCTCCCCTTTCTTCTCCTCCCCCAACCCCATTCTGAGGCTCTGGGTCAGAGAACAGAATAGCAGCCTCCTGTCTGTGTTTGTCTCCTTCCCTGCTGCGTCACTGAATCCGCAGAGGCCTCTGTTACTGTACATGCACCTGGAGGTAACTCTTGATTCCACTCTACTGTCGGCTGGAGGAAGGCAGGGTTTCCCACACACATTGAGGACACCCAATAAACCCTCGGTGAACGAAACGGGCCAATGAGTGAATCAAAGAAGACTTGGCCCTGCTACCAAAACACACAGGCCCTACTTCTCTGGGGCCTTCTCGGCCTGTACTGAGCTCACTCAGCTCAGTACAGAAACCGGACAGTCCTAGAAAGGTTACAGACAAGCTGTGTTGGCTTGTGTAATGCCAGAGTCATCACCGACATGAGCAACACAGGAAGAGGGTACTGGTTGCAAAATAGGTGTTTCAAGCCTGCCTGCTGATCTTGACCTGGCTCCTTCCTGCCACAGGATGGCAGCCCTTAATTCTTTTTTAGATGTTCCTAAGGAGGAGTCATTTGTCTCTTTCTCTTACCAGGGAACAGAAGACAAAAGCTGCAGGTAGAGTTCTCGTCTCATGTGGCTTGCTTCCTGATCTCTCCAGTGTGAACACTTTCCACATCTGGAGTAAACCCTCGCATCCCAGCGTGTGTGGCTCACTCTTGCTGCCCTGACTTGTTTTACTATTTTCCGAAGACAGCGTGTCACGCTCTCTAAATGCGACGGCAGCTTTTGCATTCCTAAAATCCACAGACAGAATTAAAAAGGACAAGTGGAGGCAGGTACCTGAGGCTCCTTCTCTGTTTCTTTCAGAACTGCGGAGAGACTAACATCTAAAGGCTTTTGCTTTTGCCACTTGCTGCTTGTATTTCTGTTCTTCTGACACACGGGTAGGTTCTTTCACTGTGTGAAGAATAACTTTACTGCTAAACGCACCCAGCATCAAAGTCAGACTGTGTAATTTTTAGAGTGTGTGTCTTTAGCTCCAAGCGCTTCTGTGATCTTCTAATTTGTACATATATTATTACAAAATTCAGAGGCACTTAATGTATAACTCGGGGGGAAAAGGTGAGGTTAGGATGTGTAAGGAAAGTATTTGACTGTAATTGCTGATATAAAATCCTTAGGAAAAAAAAAGCTATAATGAAAAGCTAACAAGTAGGCACTTCTCAGTTTCCAGGCTCAATGCGAAGTCATTTTTCATGTATTAACTCATTTAATTCTCACATCCATCTTTCCAGAGAGATCCTCTTACTTCTCCATTTTATAGATGAGAAAACTGTGGCACAGGGAGGTGAAGAAATGCATGCAAGGTTCACGTCTACAGCAGAGCCAGGCAGTATCTCCCAAGCCCTGCTCCTCAGGGCCACACGCCTTGCCTCTGTGATACTGCACGTGACACACTTCCACTGTGCCGCATGTTTCTCATGACTATTGAAGTTCTGCTTGAATTTCCCTTACTGCCCCTAACCGCTTCGCTTTGTGTGACGTCAGCATTTGGCACAGCAGTTAAGTCGCTCCTTGGGAACCCTGTACCCTATATAGGAATGCCCGGGGCCGAGGCCCAGCTTCCTACTAATGTGACCCTGGGAGGCAGCAGTGGTAGTTAACGTGCTTGGGCCTCTGCCACTCATGGGGGAGATTCAGACGGAGTTCCAGGCTCCCAGCCTCTGCCTGGCCCCGCCCTGGCTGTTGGGGAGTAACTAGCAGATGGAGATCTCTGACTCGGTCGCTCTGTCTCTCTGCTTTCCAAATAATAAAAATTTAAAACTAGACAGCTAAATAAGGTTTAAGAAGAGGAAGGAGAGACTTTTAGCTCATTGTGTTTCGAGTCTTCTCAGGCCACGAGAGCTGCCGGGAGTGCGGGAAGGAAACCCAGTGGGCACAGATTTACACAGTGGTTCAATGGCCACTTGAATTTTTATTTTACTTCTTTTTTAAAGAAGTGGTTTTTAATTTTTTTAATTCTTATTTTATTTGAAAGGCAGAGAGAGAGGAAGAGACAGGGACAGATAGAAGGACATCTTTCATCTGCAAGTTCACTTCCCGAATGCCTGCAACAGCCACGGTTAGGACAGGCGGGAACCAGGAGCCAGGAGCTCCATCCAGTCTCCCACGTAGGAGGCAGACACCCAAGTGCTCGAGGTGCCTGAGCCGTCACCTGCTGCCTCCCAGGGTGCACATTAGCAGGAAGCTGGATTGACAGCAGAGGAGCCAGGACTTGAAGCAGGCACTCTGACATGGGATGTGGGCATTGGAAGCAGTGTCTTAACTGCTGCCCCAAATGCTCACCCTGATCTTCTGGGTTTGAAACTTTTCTCTCCATGCTGAGCTTCAAGCTTCTGTGGCTCCCCCACATCGCGCAAGCCAGCCGGTTACCTGGGGCCTTGTGTTCTCCTGCCCTGCGGGTTGGTGACACATTCTAGAGGGGCCCCCTGCCCCCTCACGTTGAGTCTGCAGTGGATTTCCCTTACTTGGGAGTGGCACAAGACTCCCAAGAGACTATGTTTGCCTTCGGCCCTACCTCTGCTTATGTGTGGAAGCACACAGCCGGTGCCTGGGACGAAGTTTCTCAGCAAATGTCACCTCCCTTCCTCTGCCCCTTCCTGGCAACAAAATTCAAGTGTAGTATATTTTTCGTTCATAGGCTATTTGCCAACGTGTCTGGAATTCTATCAGCCTACCACTGTTTTCCAACAACTTCCACTTCTAAGAGCACGGCACCCCACGTGCTTACTTTGAACACGAGAGTAAATTTAGTTTGCTTTGAGAATTTTGTAATACTCTCCAACAGAATAGAGGGCCACAAAATCAGGTTCAGAATCAATGGTCTGGAGATACAGTACAGAGAGAATAAATGAAAATTTGACAAATAACACCCACCCAAAGCCTACAGTTTATAATGCGCCTAGAGCTCCTTGGGGGAAGAAAATGCATATAAACATCAGTGATGCACAATCAGTTAAATCACTCACCTTTTTGAATGTTTTATGAGAAACTGTAATCATATGCATTAAATGAAGCAGGGAAAATGTAGTAATGCCATCATAAATAAGAGAGCTTCAGTGATCATATTTTATTCACTGGTTTCATGGGGAATTTCCATTTTGACTCAGTTATGAGAATCTGTAATGACAATGTTAGCTCTAATGATGGCACTAAAGAGCAAAGTAGAGGCAGGCATTTGGTGCAGTTATTAAGATGCTGGTTGGGATGCCAATCCCACAGCAGAGTGTCTGGGTTCAAGTCTCAGCTCTGCTCCTGATTCCAGCGTCCTGCTAACGCATACCCTGGGAGATGGCAGGTTATGGGTCAGGAACTTATGACCTGTCATGCACATGGAAGACCTGAAATGAGATCCTGACTCCCAGCTTCAGCCTGGCCCAGCCCTGGCTGGCACGGACATTTGGGGAGTGAACCAGCAAACAGGAGAATTCTATCAGTCGTTCTTTCAAATAAATAGATAATTTAAAAAAAAAAAAAAAGAAAGACAAGCAAAACATTATCAAATGGGAAGAACCCACAAGGTTTGGAGCCATGAAGTCCATATTTAATCCCTTCACAAGTGCTGTCACCTCTCAGAAATCCAAGAATGACGATCTTATCATACCTTTCTGTGGTAGGCAGAACAGTGGCTCCCCAAGGATGTCCTTGTTCTAATCCCCAGAACCTGTAAATATGCCCTGTTACTTGGCAAAGAAGAATTAAGGGTACAGATGGAAAGAAGGGAGATTGTCCTGGATTATCCAAGTGGACCCAGCGTAATCACAAGGTCCTTAAAAGGAGTCAATCAGAGGGAGATGCACCCACAGAGGAGAGGCACAGAGAGGTGTGATGTTTTTGATGGTGAAGGTGCAGGAAGACGGCCGGGAGAAAAGCAATGTGGACAGCCTCTAGAAGATGGAAATACAAGGATGCAGATTCTCTCTAGAGCCTACAGAAAGGAATGGAACCCTGTGGACACCTTGATTTTAGCCCAGTGAGACCCATGTCAGACCGCTGACCTACAGAATTATAACCCAGCACATCTGTGTTGTTTAGGTTAGTAAGTTTGTGCTTTGTTCCTCCAGCTTTCTGAGATACTAGCAAAGGTTATAGGGTCACAACCTCAGTCTAGAACATGTTTTCCTGAAAGTACATCTCTTCATTTCAATGTCCTTTTCCATTTTGGTAGGCTGAGAATTTCTCAATTGCTCAAGTCCTGATTGCATTAAGATTAAATGGTCTTCCTTTAATCTATCACTTACCCCTCTTGTTTTACTATAACAGCAAGAAGAAACCAGGCTGCACTTCCAACACTTTTATCTTCAGCTTAATATCCAAGTTCATTGCTTACAATTACTCTCCACACAATTACGGGGCAAATCTAGGAAGCTTCCCACCTCTTTATATCAAGGCTCCCCTGTTCTACATAGAAAGGCAAAAAATTGGATTTTCCCCTTGAGCCTTCAGAAAGGAACACAGCTTTGCTAACACCTTGATTTTAGCGTAATGAGACCTGTGTTGGACATCTGTCTCACAGAACTGTAAGATAATAAATTTGTTATTTCAAGCCATCAAATTTATCTGTTACAAAAGCCATAGAAAACTAATATACCCCCCCTTTTAAAATATTTATTTATTTGAAAGGCAGAGTTACCGAGAGGGTGGGGAGAAAGATCTTCCATCCACTGGTGCACTCTCCAAATGTCTGCAATGGCTGGAGCTGGGCTGGTCTGAAGCCAGTAGCCAGGAGCTTCTTCCAAGTCTCCCACGTGGGTGCAAGGGCCTAAGGACTTGGGCCATTTCTGCTGCTTTTCCCAGGTGTAATATCAGGGAGTTGGATCAGAAGTGGAACAGCCAGGACTCTCTACCTGCTGGCACTGCAGGTAGAGACTTCACCTGCTACACCACAGTGCCAGCCCCAATACACCCCCTTGTAGGATTACTATGAAGACTAAATCAATAATGCCTACAAAATCTCTCTGCCATGCAAATGTGAGGGATTCCTGTGTCATACAACAAAGCCCTGTGCTATGTGACTGGCAAGTCTGGTGGGGGTAAGGGGAGCTAGTAACAGGTACACAGGTGCCCAGTCTGGTGGGGGTGAGGGGAGCTAGTAACAGGTACACAGGTGCCCAGTCTGGTGGGGGTGAGGGGAGCTAGTAACAGGTACACAGATGCCCATGCAGCAGGACAGATGAGTGGACATCTCCAGTCAGAGAAGAGACCCACCACCACCACCACCACCATGGAGGCTAGATGTGGACACAATTCCCCCAGGACCACACTATCCTTTGGCTGACGGCAGTCACACTTGTTGGTGTCCAAGGCCCGGGTTCCATTACGTCCCTGAGCCTCCTGCCCCCTGCCCTTTCCATGGGGCCTGGAGGAGACGTGCAACAGCCTGATGCAGCACGAAAGAGTCTCCTGTGCTGAGGAAACGCTGGTCAGTAGCCAAACACTGGAAACACACATGAGCACTCCCTTCACCTGATAGGTGGGCTCTAGGTTTTAAGAGCCATCAAAAAAACAAAAAACAAGCAAAAAATAATCAATAATGTCACACAGCCACCTCCCCCTGAGGCCTGTGTTTCTGCAGAGTGCCAGAGCTAAATGTGATTTTATTCCATGTCTGCTTCTGTGAGCAATCACTTTTGAAGCCCTACTTTCCCTGTGACTCTAGCATGGCCACCATGTCAATGACAGGCTCCACTCTGGCCTGGCTAATAGCCACCCCAGCACCAGAACAATCTTCAAATCACAGATCTGATGACATTGGCCCTGGCAGACCAGGATCCTAAACAGAGTGTGCCTGCACCAACCTTCCTGTGGCTTCTCAAAGAGACCTTGGGCCTCGCTGGTGTGACATAAATGAGCCAAAGATGGTATCTGGGTTATGTATTCACTGCAGGTTGAGACCAATTAGCTTAAAAGCTTACTGGCGGGCCAGCACCATGGCTCACTTGGTTAATCCTCTGCCTGCAGCTCCAGCATCCCATATGGGTGCCAGTTTGAGACCCAGCTGCTCCTCTTTCAATCCAGCTCTCTGCTATGGCCTGGGAAAGCAGTAGAAGATGGCCCAAGTCCTTGGGCCCCTGCATCCCTGTGGGAGACCCAGAGGAAGCTCCTGGCTCCTGGCTTCAGATCGGCACAGCTCCATCTGTTTCGGCCAATTGGGGAGTGAATCGGTGGATGGAAGACCTCTCTTTCTCTCTGCCTCTCCTCTCTCTGTGTAACTCTGACTTTCAAACAAATAAATAAATCTTTTAAAAAAAAATAATATATAGGGCGGTGCCACGGCTCACTAGGCTAATCCTCCGCCTGCGGCGCCAGCACACCAGGTTTCAGTTCTGGTTGGGGTGCTGGATTCTGTCCTGGTTGCTCCTCTTCCAGTCCAGCTCTCTACTGTGGCCCAGGAGTGCAGTGGAGGATGGCCCAGGTTCTTGGGCCCCTGCACCCGCATGGGAGACCAGGAGGAAGCACCTAGCTCCTGGCTTCGCATCGGTGCAGCGCGCTGGCCACAGCGGCCAATGGAGAATGAACCATCGGAAAAAGGAAGACCTTTATCTCTGTCTCTGTCTCTCTCTCTCTCTCACCATCTACTCTGTCTGTCAAACAAACAAACAAAAAGAATATAGATAAAGGACACCCAAACAATCAGAGTTTTAACCCCTCGGGGCCTGCCTGCTTTTCTTGCCCATGAAATGCTGCCCAGTTTCCACGCTACTGATATGACGGAGGCTTATGGTCCTAAGACCCAGACTGCCACTGCTCTGCTGAGTTCTCTGACCCAGAGGCTCCATTCTGTGCTGCTGGGTGACACCTCCTAGACACACAGGACACACGGCCCCTGCAAAGTCCCATGCCCTCCTCCCCTTCCCAATGGTACCCACCCCTCCAGTGCCATCCATCCTGAGGTTGTGGACAGCCTCATGCTATGTGGACCACCTTTCTGGGTCACCCTGTCCACATTCTGCCTAATAAATCTTGCCACGTTACTGTCCCTCCTGGTCACATCTCTTCCCTTGATCAGCCCTCAAATCCCTCAAACTCTGACCCACTGTCAAGTCTAACCACGGGGCAGTCTGGCAGGGCAGCTCTCCACGGCTCAGTCCCATCCCAAGGGAAGCCCCTTTCCCCTCTCTTCCCTTGATCATACCCGCTCATCGCTCCGTGCTTCTCTCACCCATTTTCTACCAGTTACACCAGTTCCCAAGGCTGTAAATTGCTGGAGTTATCTGATTCTTGCGCCCCTCCCATTAGACTGTGCATCCCCTCCAGCTTTTCCCCCTTGCAACCCCAGCACCTGGGCTTCAAGTAGATGCCTGGCATCAAGCAGATGCTCAGTAAATAAATATTTTTATGTGGAATAAGAAGAGGAGCAAATTGGCTTGATGAGGATGGTGCTGCCATGGAATTTTCCACATCCCTACGACAAGTGAAAAGCGTACGGTCTGTCTTATCCTGAGAAGTCAGCGTTTCACCCTATTGGATTCAATCCTGATTGACACTTTGGCCTTTCGGTTCAATTCTTTCTGAGCTTCACTGGGCTCCTGGCTTTTTAAAGAGCTGACTTCTGGCCCCTCTGCTGGCCACTCCTCACCCAGAATGATCTTTTTAAGTCTCAGATCTGATTACACCAGCAGAGGGAGATGTCTTGAGAAAACCACCTCATCGTTATTTAGAAATGTGCAACCATTCTCCTGTTTCCCCACGTGTGTGAATGTACATGATGAACAGGAATTACAGTGCAAGGTGTAATAGCACAGTCCATACTGGACTCTGGCTATCCTGGGTGCAACAGCATCACCCTACTAACTGGCTGGATTGAGTTCAACTGCACACCTTGTATGCGTGATTCTTTTATGACTGAGCCCATGCACAATGAGACTGGGCCTTTGGGTTGTGCCCACTGAGCCTAGCGAGGGAGGGGAGGCGTTTGTGCAGCTGGCCATGAATTCCTTTTTAAGCATTTCCTGAGCTTCCTGTCTACTCTGGGCACAGCGGCCCATCCCACTCCCTGCAGCGCATGGAACTTTCCGTGCCTAGCACAATGCCCTGCACAGGATGAAGTGGCCAAGTAAGCCATGAAAGATAACAGGCAGCAGCCATAAAAGCACCAGTACCGAAGGCGTGCCCGCAGTCCTGGCCCTGTGGCGTGGAGTATTCCAGGCAGCCGGCTCTCTCTTCCAGGGGTGGGCAGGGCGCACCGCCGTTCTGAGGCTCCTGCTGCACAGAGCGCGTGCGCACGCGGGTCGTTGGCTTGCACTGGTCTGCACAGGCACTCCAGGGGCTCCACTCCCCCACGGAGCACGGACGAGCTGCAAAAGAGCACAACAGGACACTCACCGCAGGAAACCCAGCCAGCCTGCTCCCACCAACACCAACAGCACGATGTAGCCCCATGCAAACGTCACCTTCACCTGAGCCCTGTATCAAGGGTGACACACAGCCTCAGCACATCCCGGGTGACACTGGCTCCCCCCACCGTGATGATTAACTGAGAGTCACGACCCCTTAGAGGCTAGCGGACATCACCAGGGTCCTGAAGCTGGGTCTGTGCTAGGGGCACATACACAACTACATGAGATGGGTGGCTTCAGGGTACTTCTCACACTCCCAGGGTTAGATCGGACCTTTGCTTTCTTGGTTCCTTAGTGTTAACTTTATCTGCCATGCATTTTTGAGGTACAGTGTGACATTTCACTGAACCTATACAATGTGTAATGATCAGATCTCAGGGTAACTGGCATATCCAATCACCTGAAACATAATTTCTCGGTGTTAGAACATTCAGAGTCTTCTGTTAGATATTTTGAGATATTCAATTAATTGTTGTCCACCATTTTCATCTTAATGTGTTATAGAACACTAGAAGTTATTCCTCCTAGCACACTGTACCTGAACCTGTTAACCATCCTCTCACCAGCCCCTTCCCTCTCCCCATATCATTTTTATTATAACAGTAACACACATGCTTTGTAGGAAGTGTAAAACAAAAACAGAAGCATAAAAGAAGAACATGAATTTCACCCACCAAGAATTCCATCACCTACCCAGGTCCGTCTTTATTAGCTGGTGGGGTTTAGGGCCACATTCAGAGAGGGTCCCTATACTTTAGGCTGTCCCTATTTACTCCGTTCTCATCCTCCATGGCTCACCCACTCAAACTGTGAGGGTGCATGCTCAGACATGCGCATCCGAGTCCCAGAGAAGTAAGGAGGCCCCGTGGCCATGCAGGAAGGTGTGGTCAGACTCCAGAGTCTTGTTCTTTCTTTTAGTCTGCTTTCCTGCACACATTTCATTCCTCGGAGCTCAGCTCAGCGGCCTCTCAGCTGCCAGCCATGCGCCCTGGGATCCAGCAAGGATTCACCTAACAGACCAGCCAAGCCAGTTTCTTGTTGATTATGAAGTCCGTTTCCCAAGTCACAAGATGGAATACTGAATTCAACTTCCTCACCAGGACTTTAAAATCAGGGTGGTTTCACATTTAACTTTCCCATTGAAATTTTTCTCTCTTTTTTTTAAGATTTTATTTATTTGAGAGGTAGAATAACAGAGAGAGGGAGAGATAAAGGTCTTCCATCCACTGGTTCAATCCCCAAATGGCCACAAAGGCTGGAGTTGAGCCTATCTGAAGCCAGGAGATTCTTCCAGGTCTCCTACATGGATTCAGGGGCCCACGCACTTGGGCCATCTTCTACTGTTTTCCCAGGATCCAGCAGGGAGAGCTGGATCAGAACTGGAGCAGCCAAGACTCAAACCTGTGCCCATATGGGATGCCAGCACCACAGGCAGATGCCTAACCTTCTATGCCACAATGCTGGCTCCTCCCACTGAAATTTCTAATAAGTCTCTTAAAAGGACAGTAGTGAGTTTTTTTTTGTTTGTTTGTTTTGACAGGCAGAGTTAGACAGTGAGAGAGACAGAGAGAAAGGTCTTCATTCCGTTGGTTCACAACCCAAATGGTCGCTAAGGCTGGCGAGCTGCGCCGATCTGAAGCCAGGAGCCAGGTGCTTCTCTTGGTCTCCCATGCGGGTGCAGGGCCCAAGCACTTGGGCCATCCTCCACTGCACTCCCGGGCCACAGCAGAGAGCTAGACTGGAAGAGGAACAACCGGGACAGAATCCAGCACCCCGACCGGGACTAGAACCCGGGGTGCCGGCGCCACAGGTGGAGGATTAGCCTAGTGAGCCACGGCGCCGGCCAGTAGTGAGTTTTTAAATTGAATTATTTCAGGACTTGATAGTAAATGTCAGAAAAGAATGAGAAGATAGAAGGGGCCTACAAACTAGAAACCAAAACTTGTTTTTCCCCACAAAGTAGGACCCACTTTTCCTATTACCCTCATACTTCAGGGTGTTTTCAACAAGAAAGCATTTTGGGGGCAGGCACTTGGCCTAGCAGTTAAGACCCCAGTCAGAATCTGCATCCCATATCGGAGTGCCTGGATCTGAGTTCCAGTTCTACTCCTAATTCCAGCTTCCTGTCAGTGCAGACCCTGGGAGGCAGCAGTGATAGCTCATGTTCACTGGGCTCCTGTTACCCACTTGGGAGATCTGGATCTGGACTGAGTTCCCAGCCCCCAGCTTTGGGCCCAGTTCCAGCCGTTCCAGGCATTTGGGAACCTATGGTTGAGAGCTCTGTCTGTCTCCCTGCCTCTAAAAGAAATAGAATAAGTAAGAAAGCTTGGTTTTTCTTTTTGAGAAAGCATTTTGAGTACTTTGTAAGCCTGCTTTGGACTTTTGACAGTTTGTACCTAGAAACTTGTTTTGCCAGTACATTCCAGTTTAGGGTTTTTGGAGGACATATTAGGCAGTAAACTACTCTGAACATGAAAAAGGTCACACAACATAATACTTGTCAATAATTCAAAAGTTGCAATATTTTTTAAAACACATTCTCATCCAAGTTCTAAAAACCTGGAGGCATCACAAATCCACTCCCTAAAGTATGAACCACACTAGCGCTCATTCCCAATGTCTACCAGGTCACTTCCCACTCTTGTTGCCTCTTATTGACCCCTCCCTTTTGCTAGTCCTAATACCATGATTTCATTGGTGCATCCAACCAGGAATCATCAAAAGAAACCCCCGGGCTGGGAGCAGGTTGAGAAGGACACCTCCTGGCCTCACTCTCTGAATCTCTCTCTTCCTCTTTCAGACCATTTCACCCCTGGTCTAACATCCTGCCCTTGGTGTGTTGGACTCAAACAACACTTAATAATACACTTTTTAAAATATATATTTGTTTCGGATATTTTGTTACTGTGGTGTAGTGGGTAAAGCTGCCACCTGCAGTGCCGGCATCCCATATGGGCACCAGTTCTAGTCCTGGCTGCTCCACTTCCATCCAGCTCTCTGCTATGGCCTGGGAAAGCAGTAGAAGATGGCCCAAGTCCTTGGGCCCCTGCACTGGCATGGGAGACCCGGAGAAGCTCCAGGCTTCTGGCTTCAGATCTGTACAGCTGTAGCTGTTGCAGCCATCAGGAGAGTAAACCAGTGGATGGAAGATCTCTCTCTCTCTCTCTCAGCCTCTGCCTCTCTGTAACTCTGCCTTTCAAATAAATAAATAAATCTTTTAAAAAATCATGTATTTGTTTCAAAGGTTAATATGTGGATACCATTCTAAAATAAAATTTTGCCATGGTGTTAACTAAGAATTTAGTAATATGGCCTTGTGTTAGACTCCATCCATATGGTAAAAGACAACGTTGCAGACTCTTCTAACTGATTTAGTTTCTCAGAATTTCCTCAACATTTGTGTGTCATGTTCACAGTCTGAATTTTATTTGGGTTGGTCCCACAGTTAAAGTCCTCAAAATCACAAAATCATTACATCGGTTGTTGTTCCTATTGATTCAGACTTGTCCTTGGCAAAATGCTATTTCCTGTTTTCAGTCCATGACTTTTAAAGGCCTATACAGATAGTCAGAAAGTTCCAGGGTTTAGGACAACAGCTCAAAGTCTTAATTACAAGATAAAATGAAAAAAAAATTTTTCATAGAATTATATGAATTAAAAGGCATTCCACAAAATATTCAGTGTGGGAAAATTGAATTAGGTGTTTATCCCTATTCTGCACCCAAAGAGTCTATTCTTGCCTCGCTGGTGAACTTTTGATTCTTTGGGTTGCAAACCATCATAGATCATATGAGATCTTTGGTCACAGAGGTTAGGGGAAGTACAGGAACTCCTAACAGATTTATTAGAAGTCATATATTACAGCTGCGTGGCACAAATTTCCTTTGAACTATTCTGTTAGTATCCTTGTCCCTTTTCCCACTAAAGCTTATCTAATTCACATCAGCACACAGGATAATGGAGTATTTTTTCTTAAAAACTGACTTTTTCAGTCTTCACACGTAGTTTCACCAAGCCAGTTGTCACCAAACCGCGTCATGCAGTGAACAGAATGATCACCGTTGCTGCCAAGCCCATCACAGCTTCTCAAAGGCTTCACAGAGAGGTGGTGATGACATCAACCCACCTCTTGCAGGGGGAGGAAACCTAGACTTAGTGGGAGACAGGAAGCTTGCCAAGCTCTTTCTTTTCTTTGTTTAAACTCAACCCAGTACTCAGGTTGCATCTCTCCATAATCCACCCATGGACATGAATTTGAATATAAGCAATTTATTTGGGGTGAACCCAAGAAGCAACATAAGGGAGTGGAGAACAGAGATAGAGAAGAAAACACGAAGAGAAAGAGACATGGAGAGGACATTTCAGTTCCCACTGTTGGCCCAGTTGGCACCTCTGGCTCTCAGCTCACTGAGATAATGGATCAGAGTGTAAGGTATCAAGTCTGGCCTGAGTTATCAACTACCTACCCCCGCCCCCCTTCTCAGGAGCTTTCCGGTTGTCAGATATCCCTCCCGCAGCCCAGGAGAGTGGCCAAGAATGGAAAAGTAAGTTACACACGTGTCAGTAAGGAACACACACACAAAAGCAGAGTACATTTTCACCTGTCCTAAAAGAATGGCCAGTCACGTCCAAGGACAATTACTTTAAAAATAGATCACTAGAGGTTTTTTAATTTTTCATATTTTTTGATTTTTAATTTTAATTTTTTAAATTTTCAATTTTTCTTAAGGTTTAATTTTATTCATTTGAAATGCAGAGAAACAGATAAGATGCAGAGAGCTCCTATCCACTGATTTTCTCCCCAATTGCCTACAACAACCAGGGCTGGGTCAGGCTGAAGCCAGGAGCCTGGAACTCAATACCGGGCTCCCAACTGAGTGCCTTTCTCTCCCAGCATAGGCTCCTCACGTTGATGGCTGGGACTTTGACACCCCCTGTCTCAAAGTTACTGCTGGGCT